GACGAATAAAGAATCTCTTAATCTTTTGCAATGTAAACAATGAAATAAGCAAAAGAATAATCGCAAACTGGCATTAGATCACGTACAGCGCGAGTGAATTGGTTTTGCGAAAACCACGTTTATCGTAGCTGTGTGTGAAAACAATTAGCAGGTGCACTTTCATTTTAGATACTTTTATCTTCAAACTATCATGGTAAATGAAATACAGAAAAAAAGGCACTTTACATGTATGATAAGGCTGTAAATAATACCACACCAAATAATGCATGCAAGTGATGAAAGAACATTGTACAGTTATCATGGAAATGGAGAAATTGAATGGTGTGCAGGTCTCACTTTTCAATATCTACGCTCCAAATGAGGATGAAGCTAAATTCATACAAAATATCTTTGACATACTGCTTCAAAAGAGTGTCGGTGTCTTATTACTCGCTGGTGATTTTAATTGTACGATTTCGCCCTACATGGACCGTCAGCCCAGTTCCAAAAGCCCTGCTTCTCAAATGAGCAAAGTACTGAAACGTCTCACCACAGAACTGGGCATGATCGATGTTTGGAGAAATCGGTTTCCAAGGGTCAGAGACTTCACCTTCTACTCACCTAGGCACTCCTCTTATTCAAGAATAGACATGTTTTTCACTCCAAAAGCTGAAGAACACCGAATCGAGGACATCAACATCTTACCAATTACATTGTCCGATCATGCCCCTCTGGTTTTAAAATGGGATGTGTGTCAAACACCAAAAGTTAAACACTGGAGATTGGAATCTCCTTAACGATAAGGAATTTTGTAATTTTATTACTAGTGAATTAGACACTTATTTAGAATTAAATTCCACCCCTGAGATATCACCTCTTATTTTATGGGATTGTGCTAAGGCCTGTCTTAGAGGCCGTATAATATCATTTTCTTGTGCCAAGAAAAAGAAAAATGAGGCTAGACGGCGAGAGCTAGAGGGTAAGATAACAAACCTAGAGCAAAAACATAAAAGAACCCAAACCCCAAATCTACTCAGTGAACTCAAATCATTGGGGAAGGAACTTGAAAGTCTGATTACAGAAAAAATAGAGGGTAACTTGAGATTCACTAAACAAAAATACTACGAAAATGGAAATAAGGCCAGTAGATTGCTAGCACTGAGACTTAAAAAGCAGCAATCTGCTAATACGGTTCAAAAATTGAAGAATGAACATACAACAAGCACTAAACCTGACAAAATTGCAAAGTCTTTTGCAGAGTATTACAAATCTCTGTATAAAAATACAGATACTTGCCAAGATGACCACGTACTGTCCGAATTTCTAAAAAAACATAAAATTAAAGACACTTACAGAATCCACAGCAAAACAGTTAGATGAACCAATCAAAGAACTGGAAATTCAACAAACAATCTCTAACCCGAAGAGTTTTAAGAGTGCTGGTCCTGACAGTTACATCAATTAATTTTATAGAAAAATTGACCCCATTATTACTTCAAGCTTATCATTATGCCCTGTGGACCGAATCCATGGCGCCTTCCTGGAATGATGCTACCATCGTTGTCATTCATAAAGAGGGCAAAGATCCAACAAATTGCCAGTCATATCGACCAATCTCATTGCTCAACACAGATTTACGTATCCTCACGGCAGTCTTGGCCAAACGGGTTGGTAAAATTATCACAAATATTATAAACCCAGACCAGACGGGGTTCATAACCGGAAGGCACTATGGGGACAACGTTCGTAGACTTCTAAATTTAATTTCTATTTCTAAAACCCAACAAAATGAAGCAATGATTCTCTCTCTCGATGCCCAAAAGGCATTTGATCGGGTGTCCTGGCAATATTTAAATCACATATTACAAACATTTAATTTCGGCCCAAACTTAATTAAATGGATCCAAATTTTATATTCTAACCCTTCAGCCAGTGTAAAGGTCAACGGAACAATATCAAATAGATTCCCACTAGAACGTGGCTGCAGGCAAGGATGCTCATTATCACCCCTGCTGTTTGATCTAAGTATTGAACCTCTAGCACAGCTAATCAGAGATGACGTAAACATTACAGGATTTTTAATAAATGGTGAACATCACAAACTGTCAGTGTTGTGCCAGTTCACAGCTTTTCTGAACTAGTTCAAGTTCAGTTCATACATGCTCAAAGTGAACAGTTCACGTTCAAAGTTCATAATTTTAATTCTGAACTAGTTCAAAGTTCAGTTCATTTTACTATTTTTTGTGAAATAGTCAAATAAATACTTTTTTTTCACACTACGAGCTATATATATATATATATATATATATATATATATATGAGGTATATATATATATATATGTCCTGTACACCCACAGGAGGAGAGCCTTTTGACTACAAAACAGACTAGATTTACATGGTTTTCAATGGGAGCAAAACGGAGTTGCTCCATCTCTGCTCATAAACTACAGACAGTAATGCGTTGCAGTGCGTGTGTCTATACTTTAAGTCAAATGTAAACGGTGTAAACTTTGTCGCTAACTCACCCTGTGTTTTCATCACGACTCGGGCACATGTGAAAAGCACCAGCTCACAGCGCCGCACCGCAACACAGAGTCGGGGTGCGTTCACAGACGGTGGAAACCGTAGGATTTTTTTGATTTTGGCGGAAAAACTGCGAGGGAGGAACTTTCTCTCGTTGCGTTTCAAAAGAGAAAACAGATTCCAACGTTCATAGTGATGTCTGCCGTTCATGACACATAAAATGAACTAATTCACGTTCAAGTTCTTTTTTTAAAAATGTGTTGCGTTCAGTTCAACGTTCACGAAAAAATGAGCGTGTTCAATGAACGCGTTCTTTTGAACTCGTTCACGCACAACACTGCAAACTGTCCATATATGCCGATGACGTATTACTATACATCTCAAATCCAACGACAACCATCCCTCATCTAATGAAAATAATCCGCTCCTATGGCTACCTCTCTGGGTATAAAGTCAATATTGATAAAACGGTAGCAATAGACATAGTGGGAAACATATCAAAACATTTCAAAGATCAGAGTGGTTTTAAATGGCCAAAGGAAGGTATGAAGTATTTAGGTATTCAAATCCCACTCTCTTTAACAGAATTATACAAGGTAAACTACAGGGTTTTAATTGGGAGGATTAAAAAAGACTTGGAGAGGTGGACGGTCCCGCCTCTTTCTTTCATGGGGCACATAGAGAGTATACGTATGAACATTGTACCCAGACTATTATACCTCTTCCAAATGCTGCCTATAAATATTCCTAATTCTACATTTGATGAACTGGATAAACTCTTCTCCAAATTTATATGGCAGGGTAAACGCCCTAGAATCAAATTGCAAACATTAAAATTGCCAAAGTCACAAGGTGGAGTTGCACTACCCAATCTCAAGCATTACTTTTGGGCAGCTCAAATGAGACCCTTGGTTGTTTGGATGCAGGACCTGTCTTACACTCAATGGCTTAATATTGAAAAGAGTTTGTGTAATACGCCTATTAACAATTTGCCTTTCCGTAATGTCTCACTGAGGGAAGTACAAATGTGCGAGTGGACTAAGGTTACATTTAAGATCTGGAAGAAAATTAAGCAGTCATATGGTCTTCCAAGAGAAATTTCAGTCCTCTCAGATATCTCCAGCCTCCAGGGATTTGCCCCATGTCTAATCGATGCTAGCTTTAAAATGTGGTCAACTTTTGGTCTTGTTAAGGTGAGCCAGCTGGTGGGCAGCGGTTGCCTGAAATCTTTTGAGCAGCTCAGGAGTCAATTTCAGCTTCCCTCTTCAGATTTCTTTCGATATCTACAGTTAAGGAGTTTTTGGACCAAACACAGAGAATGGAACAAAGTCCTACATCCCTCTATTGAAGAACTTCTACTAAAAATATATCAGGGAAATTGCTCTCCAAAAACATTAAGTCTTTTTTATAAAGCACTCTCAAATTTGAATTTCAATAATACTTCATACATTAAAGCAAGATGGGAGGCTGAGATTTACACTCAAATGACAGATGAGATGTGGGAAAATATTTGCATTGAATCGCACCTAGTCCCAAATTCTGGATTATGGAGAGAATTTAAATGGAAAATAATCACAAGATTTTTTAGGACACCAGAAATCACATCCAAAATGAATCCTTCTAATCCTGACACCTGCTGGCGCAATTGTGCTGTGGGCTTATTTGATGCATAGCTTTGTTTGTGTTTTTGTGTTCTTATTTTTGCTTAATTTCCATTGTACATGACTGACATACTTTACATGTGCATTGGTGAATTTCTGCGAAATTTAAATGCTATGCATTTCCATTGCACATGTTGGAACATTTATAAAACTCAATAAGAATAAAGTGAAAAAAAAAAAAAAACACTGGCCGAGTCGTTAAGAAAGCTCGTCAGCGTCTCTACTTTCTGCGTAAACTTAGAGAATTTACCACTAACTCTAAGATTCTGCTTAACTTTTATCGCTGCACCATTGAGAGTTTACTTGTTGGTTCTGTGTCTGTGTGGTTTGGAAACATCACAGATAAAGAAAAGAGAGCTTTAAACAAGGTGCTCCGCTCTGCAAAGAGGACCGTGGGCTGTGAGCTTCCTGTTATGGAGGTTCTTTATAAATCCAGACTTTGAAAAATTCCTATATTTAAGCGCAGTCTTACTGTTGAAGCTGTGCAAAATATTACATTAAATATACTTATTTAGGAATGAAACCTCTGCCTTGTTTTTGATGAATACTTTGGCTTACTACGCTACTGTATAGTGTTGGTCATTTGTGGTGGTACTTGGAGAGGCAAGTATTTTCTGAGGGGGTACTTGGTGTGAAAAGTTTGAGAACCACTGAATTAGAGAACAATGTTGTAACATGATTAAAAGCTCAAAAAGTATACTTTGCATAAATTGTCTCCTCCTGAATTGGAGTCTTTATGCTCCTGATAATTAGGGCACCAACATTGCAGCAGGAAAGGCCACGGGTATTGCCGTGGCAACTGGCGTTTCCACTGAGATCGGTAAGATCCGTGATCAGATGGTGGCCACCGAGCAAGAGAAGACCCCTCTGCAGCAGAAACTGGATGAGTTTGGCGAGCAGCTTTCTAAGGTAAAATTTTTAACATTTAGTAAATACTTTTGTGTTATTCCATCTTTATTCTCCCCAGGTCATCTCCCTGATCTGTGTTGCTGTGTGGATCATCAACATTGGCCACTTTAATGACCCAGTCCACGGAGGCTCGTGGTTCCGCGGGGCCATCTACTATTTCAAGATCGCTGTGGCTCTGGCTGTGGCTGCCATCCCTGAAGGTATGTTATTGACCACTCAGCATGATGTAATATTCATTAATGTTTTTATTTTATTTTGTTGCTTCAATTGATACACAATTATTAATAACCTAAGATTGTGAGTTAATCCAAACCAATGGAGAACAATAAACTGTCCCTTTTAAATCTGGGGCTTGTTCTTTTATGAATAATTTTGTTTGCCCTCATACAATGAGTCTTTAAAATTACATAGTTAAATAAAGAACACATTATGTTAATGAAATAAGACCACGATATGCCGTCTGTTATCTTTTGCATCCTTGTAAGATGGAGAAAGACCTGTCTCGTTTTTACTTTTCTGTCTGAAAAGCTGATCTAAAGATAAAAGATAAAAAGAATGAAATAAGATGAAGACTGCCCTTTTTGAAAGCATTTTGTCACAAAATTGTATTGGCACAACCAACATGCAATGGGGCAACACAAAAAAAGTATAATTCTCCACTCGTACAATCATCATTAGTCTTACAAATATCACTAGGCATATTAAATAATACACATGCCACAAAGATCCACTTGATTGTCAGCACATTTCATAAGGTCTAATTAGGGCGTATAAGGTACTATAGTCAGGGATGCACAAAACTTTTTCTGTGAGGTACTCAGATGAGTACCAGGACATGGTGTTTGGTACTCATTTGTCGCGCGGTTCTTAATCGAGATTTTATACTTGCTTCTTTTTAATGCTGAAATTCAACTTCTACAGAATGATTGATATCTCGGCCTCTGTAGCAGATAGAAACATAATTTCAAAAGAATTTGAGAGCTGACACTGAAAATGCAGTGTATTATTATAATCCTTCAGTAGAATAATAAAACAATATACAACTTCCACACAGGAAAGGTAATAAAACAACCAATAATAATGTGGGACAAACACATCTTTCTCAATACAATAAGTTAAAAAGAGTTTGGCAATAAAGTGGCACTAACTATATGGAAAAAAATATTGAAAAAAATCCACTCTCGGCCCAAAAAGTCAAATAATGACTCTCAGGGCTCTTTCTTAATTAAGTAAAATAAAATAAACAAGACTGTTTTGGTTTGTTCTGTTTGATTTGGTCACAACATTTTACTTCTGTACACAAAAAGCATGCATTTTCAATGCAAGCGATAATGTAGGTACCTGAGCTTTAAATTCAGTGAGTTTTGGCTGCGCTTCGTGTGGAGACGGGGAGAGGCATGGGGGAGAGACGGGGGAGAGACGGGGGAGAGAGGCAAGACCCGCACGTGCAATGTGCACGTAACGCGCACGTGTGTATGTTCCTGTAGGCGCGTCTATAGTCCACGCTCAGTCCATGACTACAGTACGCGCGTTCGCTGAGCTGTCAGAGCGGCCACAATTTCTCCCGGGGTCAGAACGGAGGATGTTATAGCACCACGCCCTAGGGAGGAGTGCCCCACTATTTGAGAAGGACTGGTCTATGTGAAGTACGCAAAAGCGCTTTCTAACTCAAGTGATGGTACGCATTTCTGATAATCGTGACGCATGTGTGCACCACTTATGTGCACCCCTGACTATAGTGGTGACAATATTCAAAACATGTGCATGATGTTGGCCAGTAATAGGTATTTTTAGTCATAAGAATAATGACTTGGTGAATCTAATCACTATCAAATAATGATTTTGGAAAACATTTCTTTCAAAAACGGCTTGTATTGCCACCTACAACAACCTATACAGTAAACACAAGCAACGCAGTAAGTACAGAAAAGACAGGACAATACATACATTAAACAAATTTGAAGAGTTATGATGGAGTTTTTGATTGCCTTGCTCAGGCCTACCAGCTGTGATCACCACCTGCCTGGCCCTGGGCACACGCCGCATGGCCAAGAAGAATGCCATCGTCAGGAGCCTGCCCTCTGTGGAGACCCTGGGCTGCACCTCCGTGATCTGCTCCGACAAGACCGGGACCCTCACCACCAACCAGATGTGCGTCACCAAGGTCCGTTGAACTTCAAGTTCCAGTGAACTTCAACAGTTGTGGAGCTGCCCTGAACTGTGCTTTGTCTCACAGATGTTCATCATCAACAAAGTGGAGGCCGATAGTGTAGCCCTCGCTCAATTTGACATTTCAGGCTCCAAGTACACGCCCGAGGGAGAAGTGTAAGCAGCACTAATCATACATCAAGAATGCGGATTTGGTTGAAAAGGCCAATAATTATTCTATGTGTTATTTCATTAGAACAAAGGGAGGCATGTCTGTGAAATGTGGCCAGTACGATGGCCTTGTTGAGTTGGCAACTATCTGTGCTTTGTGCAATGACTCTTCTTTGGATTACAATGAGGTGGGGAAAATACAGCACTATTGTATATTTCATTTTGAGATCAATAAAGATTATCTTATCTTATCCTAACAACATGAATTTGTAATGTCACTTTACGTTCATGTAATATTTTTGTCCTTCAGTCCAAAGGCATCTATGAGAAGGTGGGTGAGGCCACAGAGACTGCTCTATGCTGCCTGGTGGAGAAGATGAATGTGTTCAACACTGATGTCCATGGCCTGTCCAAGGTGGAGAGGGCCAACACCTGCTGCTCTGTAAGGGCCTGTTATCCACAAACTATGTTACACAGCATGAAGTTTTTTGATATATTTCCCACATTGTTTCAGGTCATCAAACAGCTGATGAAAAAAGAATTCACATTGGAGTTTTCCAGAGACAGGAAGTCCATGTCTGTTTATTGCTGTCCTGCCAAGTCTTCAAAAGGCCCCGTGGGAAACAAGATGTTTGTAAAAGTAAGACCACTTTCAAACCATTGAATAAATGGCATTTTGTAATGAATTATAATTTGTGACGGTGCCTTTGTCTAGGGTGCACCTGAGGGTGTGATTGACCGCTGTGCTTATGTGCGTTTGGGCACTAACCGTGTGCCACTCACCGGCCCAGTCAAGGACCACATCCTGTCTGTCATCAAAGAGTGGGGCACAGGGCGAGACACCCTGCGCTGCCTGGCCTTGGCCACATGTGACACACCTCTCAAAAGGGAGGAGATGAACCTGGAAGACTCCACACACTTTGCAGACTATGAGGTTGGCCTGTTGTTGGGTTTTATATAACACTATAATCCATCCCGTCTTGATAACTACTGCTGCTTATAACCATGGTTTAACCATGTTTTTACAGACAGATTTGACCTTTGTTGGCTGTGTTGGCATGCTGGATCCCCCACGTAAAGAGGTCAGGAGCTCCATTGAACTGTGCAGAGCGGCTGGAATCCGTGTCATTATGATCACCGGTCAGTACAGACCAGCTCGAACCATCCTTTTAACAATGTGATTTGTAATGTCTTTCGTTTTTCTATCAGGAGACAACAAGGGAACAGCTGTGGCCATCTGCCGCCGCATCGGCATCTTCTCTGAAGATGAAGATGTGGCTGGCAAAGCCTACACTGGCCGTGAGTTTGATGACCTGCCTTCATATGAACAGAAGACTGCTGTCAGAAAGGCCTGCTGCTTCGCCAGAGTAGAGCCCAGCCATAAATCCAAGATTGTTGAGATTCTTCAAGGCTTTGATGAGATTACTGCCATGGTGAGACTCTGATCCTCACAACAATAACATGTGTCAACAGCACCTTTATAACTGTGTGTTTGTGCTCTGTCCATTCGTTATTAAGACTGGAGATGGTGTGAACGATGCCCCCGCCCTGAAAAAGGCAGAGATTGGCATCGCCATGGGCTCTGGCACTGCCGTTGCCAAGTCTGCCTCTGAGATGGTCTTGGCTGACGACAACTTTTCTTCCATTGTATCTGCTGTTGAGGAGGGCCGAGCCATTTACAACAACATGAAGCAGTTCATCCGCTACCTGATTTCCTCCAACGTGGGTGAGGTCGTCTGGTGCGTGTACATACAGTCATGCTCAAAAGTTTACACCCAGACTGAAATGTTAATTTTATTTTGGCTATATTTGGCCACATAATGATGAAGAAAAAAACAATGTTGTTCTGCTCATCGTTAGTGCTTGTGTCAAATTTTCAAAATTCTATTTTCAGAGCTGCACCCAGCCACAATACAACTGTATTTCAATATTCCAATATACATTATTTGACAATTTGACCCTATAGTATAATTTATTATTTTTCATACCATAATTTAATGTCATAATAATATTTCAAACAGTACCTTCCCTTGGAATAACCAACATCAGTTATACCTGCTGGTATAACTGATGTTGTTAGTGAAATGGTGAGGGGTCTCAGCTCTCTTATCAAGGATTTGAATTAATTATGTCCAATCAGAAACTTGTGGGGACAGTTCTAACTTCAGTTTGCACTGAATAAATAACTTCTATTAGAGAATGTATGACTTCACACAAACACCAACAATGAGTGGGGAAAAAGTGTTATGAGCCATATGAGGGAAGTTGGCATGTTGATGTTGTTTGCAGTATCTTCCTCACTGCGGCCCTGGGTCTACCCGAGGCTCTGATCCCGGTGCAGCTGTTGTGGGTCAACCTTGTGACAGATGGACTTCCTGCCACCGCACTGGGCTTCAACCCTCCTGACCTAGACATCATGGGCAAGCTTCCCCGATCCCCTAAGGAGCCCCTCATCTCCGGCTGGCTCTTCTTCAGATACATGGCCATTGGAGGTGCAGTTTATCTTTGCATTAATTTAAAGCTTCTAACTTTCAAATCACAACAAATGAAAAATACGTAAAAAAAAAATAAGTACGTTATTCCTTGCACTCAAAACAGTTTGATTCTATCTCCTATTTGCATATGCATGTATTTTCAGCCACTGTTACATCAATAGATCAGCTTTCAGACAGATAAGTGAATAAGAGCGGTCCACCCTTATTCAGTGGTGCTAGTATGCTAACGATGACATAATGAAGATAACATGTTTTCTAAAATGATTAGAAAACATGTTATCTTTATACAACACCCTGTAAGGACAAACAAAAGCATCTATGAAAACTACCCCTGTGTTGGGGGGGTTGATTAAATTGCAGAGGATAAAGGGGGTAGAAGTGAAAAGGCCGAATGAACTAATTATGGCAGATGGGAGCGATGGTGGTGTTCCCAAAAAGTGACAAAACTCAATTAAAATTATAGTATTTATCATTAATACATGAAAGATGGTAAAAGGTTCTAAAAGTTCTTAGAGTCTTTCGTTAAAAGTCGGAAACCTCTGGTGTGGAGGCTCCGTGGACGTTGTCCCCAGTGGCGGAGACTGCACCCAGCCACAATACAACTGTATTTCAATATTCCAATATACATTATTTGACCCTATAGTATAATTTATTATTTTTCATACCATAATTTAATGTCATAATAATATTTCAAACAGTACCTTCCCTTGGAATAACCAACATCAGTTATACCTGCTGGTGGAGAATAGTTAGTCAAATGGTGAGGGGTCTCAGCTCTCTTATCAAGGATTTGATAAGAGAGCGCTTGATGGAAACCTCTTCAACCCCCGCTGCTCCTCACGCTCTTGTCTCTGCTGTCTGTTCCTCCGTGCTGCTGTGGTTTTTCAGGCGTCTCTCCCCGCCACTTTCCTGTGGCTCGTGGCTTCTCTCTGCTCGTGGCTTCCCTCTGCTCGTGGCTTCCCCGTCTATTTTATGCTCCTGCCTGCCCATTAATGCAGGTTCAGTAATTGTAAGGGACACCTGGTTGGTTGGTGACAGTCAGGGTAGCTATGGCACGCGGGTCGTTAAAGACACAGCAACCACAACACACACAGTAGTACAAAATAAACAAATAGCTCACAGTGCCGGCTTACACCCCACCTTTAGAATATTCATTTACTTTTACTATTTTATTCATTATTGTTATATTTGGGAGGACTGGTGCCTGGTTAAAAGATAAAGATAGTTTTCATTATTAAATCTACACATTGCAAAGAAAAATGTGAAAATATGTTGAAATGAAGTAAAGAAGAATGACTGGTGACATCATGCTGGGGGACAAAAACAAAAGGGAGAAGGAAAAACAATACAAATCAATGCAGACTAAAGTCATAATTTCAGCCAAAAAAAAAAAAATGTCATTTCATATTTTTCTATCTGTGGAAAAGTGTGTTAAAAAGTGTAATTCTAGCCAATATTAATATGGCGCTATGTCATCAATTACAATCAGGAAGTTTAATTCTTCATCTAGAACAATTATTTCTGAGAAGTCAATAAAGTACCTAAAGTAGGGTACCCGACTTTCAATCCACAACAAAAAAAAGACAGTTCCTCACTCTCAAAACTAGTTTTCACATGCATGTATTTTTAGGCCTCTCTAACATCATTAGATTCACTTTTTCCAGGCAGAAAAGGGAAAAAGAGAGGGGCACCCTTATGGAAATATTTTATGTCATCAGATTTTGAATTTTAAATTAGCTTGATGTTTTCAATTTCAATTTTTT